GCAAACTTTTTTGCAACAAATACTTTGTGGTTCAGAATTCAGGAACGTGAATACATCTTTGTTAGTACAGTTTTACGTTTAATACTATTTATCTATTTTGATTTTTTATATTCAAGTAAAAATAAAAAAACACATAAACGGGACATATACGATCATGAACTTCCAACCAATTTTTGCGGTTAGTGACGTCATATCGGTCAGGTGACAGTTGTTAGTGTTTTAGGGGGAAAATTTAAAATTACTCAATTTTTGTATATTTTCTCATCGAAAATACTAATATTTTTAGTTAAAATATTTTTTTATGTTAAACAAGAGTCAATCTTCAAAATAAAAGCAAATCCGAAAAATTGTTAACATTCCCATTAAGCAAACAAATAATCCAAACGTCATAACAAATCAATGTGAATATGAAACGGTCGCGGCTACGGAGGACACACCGCACACGTCTATACGTTATCCTATCCTCTTTGAATGTCAATTTGCGGCTATCATCTCGACTGCAAGATGATAATTTTTATTTTAACTTCTGCTGAAATATGATAGTTGTATTTATTTTACAACAAATAACATTTATAAAGATATTCGAAGAACGTTTTAGCTTCACGGAATAAACAACCGTTAATAATCTTTAATTAAGTTTTACATTAAGAAATACGACAGCATTGATTTGCATTTTATTTTTCTGGGGCAATCTATTTTTACAAGTCGCTTGTTCTTTGTCAACGAGTGGAACCGGTTTTTTATTCGCTTCTACAAACAGATAATTTCTAGAACAATCGTCCTCACTCATACAAATAAGGACAGCAGTCTAAAAATCTAAAATCTATATATCTTTGCAATGATCCGCTCCATTTATCGGAATTCTTACACTTATTATTTACTTTTGGGATTCCTATCGCGTCGACGGCCATCAACAGCGACACTAACAGATCAAAATGCACCAACCAGCTCCTGAAAAAAAAATCGAAGTGCGGTTCAGTCTTTTCGATCTTTCCATCTCTATTCTGCGCCCGCACGTAGTTGACGAAAGTACTGAAATGATATCGAAATAAAAATTTTACGATAATATAGGTACTTTTTCACTGCTTATTTTTGTACATGCCTTAAGAATGGGTTCGTTGTTAGAAAAGGTTTTAGGTAGATGTAGGCACAAATAAATACATACACAAATATATACACACATCCTTTTTTATCTTTCTGTTACTATTAAGAATTTTTATTAACTTTTATAAATTACGTTTATGACAGATTTTTGCAATAAAGAAAAATAGTGACATTAAAAGGCGTTCAATGAAATGCATGATTTTTATTTCCCATTTTAAATAAAAAGATTTAAATAATCAAACAACGCTGCAGCGGTATAATTTATTAATAATCTGATGACAATGCTCATCTATTGCAATCGTTACCACGAAAAGCCTCAAAATCAACAGTATTGTGTAAATTCGATTTTTTATTTTTAGTGTAAAGTTTTTAATAGCTTGTTTGCCTATGAAACAAACTGAATTTTAAATATTTACTTAATTCGTTATGTGACTTTTAGGACTGCTCCACACTATAGTGCCGATCACGGTTCTCTCTTGGTCCGATATCGGTCTGGTAAAATATTGTTATACAAGAAACAATGCGTGCATTTATACTACTGATAGTATAAATGCACGTTAAGATTCACGTTCTGGACAAATCACACTTGAGCAACGATTCTTGTATAGAAATACTTACTTTACCAGACCGATATCGGACCGAGAACGGACGATGATCAGCACTATAGTGTGAAGCGGCTCTTAAAGTGTACACAATTTGTGTCTGCATCAAATAGTTTTTACTTGTTGACAACTGCTAATAAATGTGGTAGCCCAGTGGTAACGCGCTCGCAGGGGAAACCGAGTGAATCAAATCTCGGCTCTCGCACCTCTGATATTTCCATGTGCGAATCATTTTCAACATGATTACGGCTTGTCCCACGGTGAAGGAAAACGTCGCGAAGAAACCTGTACGTTTGAGAGAGCTTAGCAGTATTAGAGAGTCCTATAAAGTCGGCCCAACCGCAATAGGACATTATGGTGGATTATGACCTGATCCCCCTCGAATCGAATGCCTGTACCCAACAATGGTACGTTAAAAACGGCTGAATATATACATACATACAACTGCTAATGCAAAATACAGCCCTTTTTAAACAAGAAGCAAAACCCAATATTTTTAATACCATCCGCTGCGCTATACATACTTCATTCAACCGTAAATTTCTTAGAGTCAAATGTCGATCACGCTATGAACATTCTCTGAAATTCAACACGTAATGTACATATGTACATGTTCCCAGTATACTATATCTCGTAGGAGCCTATCCTGATTTCCGTTGAAATCAGAGTACACAGCTAACCTAACCCCCTTAGCCACACCGCCCACAGTTCAATGTTATATTTAGCTACCTCATAGAACTTCTCCCTATCTGCAAAGGCAGACTATTTTGACGTGAAATACTAGTTGAGTATTCTAGGAGCTCTTTATAAAGTGATACGATAGAGTCTATTCGTATAAACAAGATTCCGAGTCGTTCTTCCGGCAAATGCGTTAATAGCGATGCACTTTGATCAGGACTTCCGATAAATGCATTAATGGCATGGGGATGATTTTATATGTACAACGTCGTTGTGGAAAACATTTTCCTTATCGATTTTATGGTTAAACAAGTGCAAATTTCCTATGGAAACCGACAATGCTTTTTATTAACACTGTCTCATTTTGCACTGGCATCGTCGTCTAACTTTGTGTCTAGCTAATTGTTAGCTTTTAGTGACTAACTACGTATATTTTATATGTACATACATGGCTACGTTGTACGGTTATATTTTTTGGTGCTTATTTCATACCGCTTATATATTTTAAGTGTTTATTTATATTGGTTCATATGGTTTCGAAATAAATATTAAAAGACAAACTAGAAGAAATTGTTTACATTTTAACTAAAAGTTACACCGACTTCAAAATCTCTTTAAAGTTTCTTACACCGCCCTCAATGGAATTATTATATTAATGAAAGTTACCCTCTAGGTATAGTTATAATAAAAAATATATAATAAAAATCCTCAATTGAACCTCCTTCCTTTTTAAGAAACTTTTTAAGGAAATCCGAAAAGTTTTAAGTCTCAAGGTAAAAATTTCGTAATTGCTAAAAATCTTAACTTTTGAAGCTTGTTTAAATGATAACAATAATAATTCATTAAGGAAATTGTGATAGTAGAGTAAGTAAAGGCTAGATAATTAAGTGGATTTCGAAAATTAATAATTTACAAAATTAATTAAATTGTATAAATATTCTTGTTATTTGAAAATGTACTTTACCTTCCGGATCAGTGGGTACTAATATAATTATACGTCGTTTTAATTATCTTACAGTTTATTAGCCCGGATAGTGGATACTCCGAATATCAGCGTTGAATTATTTATACGGATAAATACATTGAAGTGTCTGTTTGTAATATCAAAATAACAGCTTTTTACTAAATGTCTTCCTTAAAACTTTCATATGGAAAGTATATGCGGTACTTGTAATAAAAAAAACAATTTTAATTTTGTTTTGTCTATCTGTCTGTTCTCCGCTCCGGTTAATATCCGAAACTGCTTGACCGATATTCACGGGACTTTCACGGGCAGATAAGTGATGTTTATGGAGTGACTTAGGCTACTTTTATTTAAGAAAAAGGATTAGGGTTCCGCGAGAAAAAATCAAAACGTATGAAATTGCGAACAAAATCTGCGTACTTCCACCTAGGACGCATCCGAGCGAAGAGAGGATAATTCGCTAGTGTTAATATAAAATTGGTTTCGAACGTGCTTTGCTCGACGTTTTTTCGAAAACGATATAAAAAGCGCCTTTTTCAGAAAAGAAACCTACTTATAAAGATAGATAAACTTAAAAACTTAGAGCCATTTCCGAGATACACGAAATAAATGTTTATACATATATAAGAATTGCCCATTTATTAGAATAATATATGTATTTTTATAAATTAACTATTTTATTTTACAAAATAAATTAATTCCTGCTACAATATACGAAATTCAATGGTTTATTATTTAATTAAATACTTTACATCATTATTATAAAACGTAAATTATAAGATGTGATATGCATTGCCGTCTAAATATTCTTATTATGTTATCTATACATATAATAAAATTGTAACTAAGCCGAATCTGTACATAATATATTTTTTTGGAAATTCTTATTGAAATAGTCATTATTATCGATACAGAGGATGAATCTATAGGAAACTACTAGACAGATTTTGATGAAATTTAGTATGCTGATAGCTGGTTATCCGGGTCAACATATAGGATACTTTTTGCTGCGGGAAAATATTTCATCTTTGAGAAGTCTATACAAAACGTTAAAACGTAAGTAGGGACGAACCCGAGCGAAGCGAGGATGAGTCGCTAGTATTACTATATTATAACTAGTGACTCACCCCCGTTTCGCTCGGCTAGCTTGCTTCCCAATACAAAATTTCATCCCCATTTTCACCCCATTAAGGGATGATTTCCGGGATAAAAAGTATCCTATGTCCTTTTCAGGGTCTCCAACTATCTTCTTACCAAATTTCATCTAAATCGGTTCTGTAGATCCAGAGATTAATGCCTACAACCTCACAAACTCACAATCTATACCTCTTTATAATATTAGTATAGATTTTAATTCTGTGCTATCTAAAATTATAAAAAGAAATAAAATACGATAACATATAACCATGTAATAAAATTATTATATTAAAACTTTGCCGAGAAGTAACCCTTACAACATACTTGAAATCGATGCTTATCATAATAATTCATACTGAGAAATAAATTGATACGAGAGAGATAAGAATGTAGATGCTTAAACTTGTAGGCGACATGATACCCAAATAACTAACAAATAAATATGTTTGGGTAAAAACTATTCCTACCAAAAGTGAATGCAGTTAGAACGAATTTTATGTAGAAATTTTTTTCAGGTAATTTTTGCTTCGGTGGCTGCACAATGTTCAAGGCGCAAACTATTGTGGAGTTTATCGAGAATGCAGTGGAAACCTCACGAAGTGGGCGATATCTTTTCTTCTTGAATCTTCGGCCGGTGCTGGGTCCAGTGAGAGTGCAACTGCTATACCCAGTGTCGAGGTTCAAGAGGGTGCAAAGTCTACAGCATATGTGCAGGTACGATTAGCCGTAGTATATCTTCATGTTATGAGTATATGAAAGATATTAAAATCTCATAATAATCTCTTAATAAAGTTGGTCATGTCAAGATGAATGCCTATAATTATTGCGTTTTGTCGTAAAATATAAACAAAAACATTAGTGTGGCTCAGTTATTGCGATGTGGACTGTGGACCTAACATAATATGCCAAACAACAAAGATATATAATAATGTACGCTATTACAACGCGGGGCTTGCTGCTTCAAACGTAAGTGATTACTGATGCCTTTTTATAATCAATTTTTCTGGGTATATTTTTAAGGATGTTATATTTATTATTATATATATGTTATAGTTATTGTTAGGAAACTGTGCCCTAATTTCAGTAATAGAACTATTCTTAGCGTACATTTTAGCAATAACCTTACGGCATAGCTGGCAACAATATAATGTGTTTATGCTTTAATTTGCCAAAGCAACCATTTTTGTTTTAATCCAATTTACCTTGATACATAAAAATACGTACGTACGTATTCGACTAACCCACTTTGGCGAGCACTTTAAATTTTATAAATGCCTATTCCAATATCAATTTCTATTAGAAGGGGTGCATTAGAAGGAATTTGTTGTTATATTTGCACAATGCGCTCAAATTTTAATCGGAAATTTTATTATATTAATCGGAATTCTCGAAATGTACAGGCAATGTTACCATTGAACAGTGAACATAGCTTTTAAATACCATTAGCAGAGTTTGTCTGGTATATTACGACTGATGAATACTGCCAATATAACAGCATAATTTAACTACAAGATGCCCTGTCATTTAGATTATGTGCTGGAAACGATTGAATTATCGATGCCTAAATATAGAATAAATTTGACTGCATAATTGTCAAGAGGTTCACATGAGACATGTAGCTCTAGTAGTCACCGAAGTACACTTTGCCTTTTGCGTAGGCATCCCTAAAAAAAAATTGGTTTGTTTGTGGAAACAATAAAAATATTCCCAATTCACGGGAAAAAATTGTTCTGAGTGTCACTTATTGGATTTATTTTATATACAAAAGTATATAGTATACTCGTACATCTATCTATCTTCTATCTATATAAATAAAAATGAATCACCGAAATGTTTGTACGCGCATAACTTCGAATCGACTGCACTAAATTGGCTTTTTTTGTGTTTGTTATTGTCGGGAAGCTTTATATAGAAGAAAATTAAGATTTCGTTAAATTAAATAAGTTTTTTTTAAACTTCATGATATGAAAAGTGAGTGTGTGAAATAGTTTTTATCTAGGAAATCATTCCTAAAGGGGGTGAGAATGGAGAATGAAATCGGAAACAAGCTAGGGACGAACCCGAGCGAAGCGAGGGTAAATCATAATATATATATCCATTCCACGCACTTTATAGTGCGTCTAACTGTATTTTTTAGGCATCTATTGGTTATATATATATATATATATATATATATATATATATATATAAATGTATTCCCTTGCATATAATCCATTAGGTATATGTAATAGTGGGTAATCAATAGGCATTAACAGCACAGCATATACATTCATCTGAATGTCGCTGACTGGGCTATCTCAATTTGTCATTTAATACCTAGGCTGCGGTTCTACGCATTAGACATCAATATAATTGCCCTCATGTTGCGATCGATTCGTAATGCATATAACGTTAATATTGCTAATAACTCATATACCTACCTACCTAGCATATGGCTTACAATTCTTATATAAAGAAATGGTCGCACTTTATCGGCTGGCAGCTTTCAACACGTTGATTATTAAGTGTTATAATACCTTTATAATATGTTCTTCATATAAAATCCATACTATCCATACTTCCATACTAATATTATTGTTCGAGCGCCTGATGATTTTTTAAAGCAACGTATTTCAAACTACTCACAGTTAACTTTAACTTTTATTATTTTTTATTGTACCGTGTGGGTTTTTTGTGGGTCATTAGTAAATGAATATACTTCTCATCAAGTTGTCCTGGTACGCGGTCTTATTTTTTCCTCCGTGTCCTGTTAAGTTCCGTACATGGTCCTTTATCGAGCGGATAGTGCTTATATGGAGATTAATAAAAGTAATTGAAGATTATATATCCAAATCAGCGATTGTTAACGACGGAAATAAGTAATTAACATGGACATAGAATTGGCCGGTACTGAGAAGTAATGGAAAGATCGAGTACACATTATTTTCAACGGTGTTAAGTTTTATTAGTATAATATCATCACCCAACACTCAAACAGGTTGTATTTAATTTTATAATAAGTTTATATAAAAGGTTAGTACATTTTTCCCTGTGTTAACTATTATTATAACTCATGCGTAGGTACTCGTATGTGTTAGAAATAATTTGTTAGTTAGTGTTAGATATTATTACAAGTTAGTAATTATATTGTAAATTAATTTAATTAACCCGTAGTGTACTTAAAGTTATCATTTGTTAAAGTTATATACTTATATTTTTGTTTTATAAATAATTATTAAAGAATAAGGACAAAATAAAATAAAATAATAGTTTTTCATCATAGATTTATTAATTGTATTTACATATGAACATAATAAATTGCCTATTTGTATTATTATATACAAATTAAAATAAATTGTTAACTTATTACATAGCACGTAGGTACCTCAAAGTTTTGTATAGTTAAGTATTTTATTACTTTATAAACTTAAAATTGTTATTATATACATTCCAGGTCGACATCACACGTTTCCCAGTATGTCCGAGGAAAGGGAGTTAATAAAGAAACGAGGAAGTTTTAAGGGTCGCTTAACTGCATTTATTAATTACCTTGATGCATTAAGTGACAATAAATTAAATAGTTGTGATGTTACCGAGTTACAATTGCGCATGAGCAAGATCGAATCTTTATATGAACAATACGATGAGGTACAGTTGCGTTTAGAATGTGTGGTTGATGATATAAAAATACAGTTGTCTGAGCGTTCTGAATTCGAGTCATTATATTATAAAGCCTTGTCTAGGTCTCAAGAATTATTAAAATTATATAATAAAGATAATGAATCGATTGCTAGTTCTAAAAGTACTCATGCCACTATTCATAAGCCTATTAAGTTACCTACTATACAGTTAACAAAATTTAGCGGTTCATATAGTAACTGGTTGGAGTTTCGTGACACCTTTACTAGTCTCATCCATAATAACGACAAGATTGACGATATAAATAAATTTCATTACTTGCGTGCTTCCCTGGAAGGATCTGCTGCTGCTGTAATTCATTCGATTGAATTCTCTGCCAATAACTACACTGTGGCTTGGGATTTAATATGCGATCGTTTTAATAATAAAAGGTTATTAGTGCAAAATCATGTATCAGCGTTATTTAACATTGAAGTTATCACTAAAGAGTCTTCTATAGCGTTAAAAGGTTTGATAGATCAATTAAATAAAAACTTGCGATCATTGGAATCCTTAGGCGAGCCTGTCAAACAATGGGACACCTTATTAATATATTTAGTTACTCGCAAGTTAGATCATAAATCTTATCGCGAATGGGAGGAGTTTAAAGGGCACATAGACAAAGATAGTAAGATTACTTTCGATGTCTTCCTTCAATTCATTCGCACACGCGCTGATTTAATTGAAACTTTGGAATTATCACGAAATAATGTTATTGTTACTAAATCACATTCTAAGGTAAAATCTATGGTAACGACACAAAGTTCTGGTAGTTTAAGCACTGAGTCTGTCACTAAACCTTGTCCAAATTGTAAAGGTGACCACAGTTTAAGCGGCTGTTCACATTTCCTTTCATTAAGTAATGAAGCTCGTTTTAAATTACTGCCTAATTATAAAGTGTGCTACAATTGTTTTCGTACGGGCCATTTTGCAAATACTTGTAGAAAACCAGGTTGCAAATTATGCAAGCGAAAGCATAACACATTAATCCATATTTCCGATATTAAAGGTAATCGTAATGACATAATTGATAACATAGCTTTGTCTCCGTCAACGTCCGCTGCGTCTTCGATCGCCGTTAAGACTGGCGGTGGCGCTAGCAACGTAGCTTTGTCTGCGAATATTTCATCTCCCCATAACGTCATTCATAAACAGCGCGATGTGTTACTGTCAACTGCTTTAGTTAAATTATATGATAAAAATAATCATGAGCATATTGTGCGTGCGATACTCGATAGTGGTAGTACATCGAGTTTTATGACGGAGCGACTGTGTAAAAAGCTTAAATTAACCACTAGTCAGATAGATAGGTCGATTCTTGGGATAAATAACGCGACTTCTCGCGTAGGTAACACTTGTCAAGTAAAAATGACGTCACTGAATAACCATTATAAGACAAAGTTATTTTGTTTTGTGTTGCCATTAATAACAAGTAGTATGCCCTGTTATGAATTAGATTTATCTGACATTAATATTCCTTCTCATATTTGTCTAGCTGACCCCACCTTTTACAAGCCCTCAGATATTGATATTTTGATTGGTGCGGATCTCTTTTGGGACTTGTTAGGCTCAAAGAGAATAAAGCTAGGTGCCGAGAGGCCTGTGTTATGTGAAACCAGGTTAGGCTGGATTGTTTCTGGCCCGATTACCTATAAGTCTGGTAAATTATTATCAAATAAAATTAGTTGTAATTTTACTCGAACTAGTCCTTGTAACGGTTCTGAATTAGATTTAATTCGTCAAGATTTAATGCGATTTTGGAATCTTGAAGAGATTCAGTCACAGTCCTCTGATTATTTACCAGAAGAAAGATTATGTGAGGATCATTTTATTAAAAATACAACACGCTTAGATGATGGTCGTTTTTGTGTTCGTATCCCGTTAAAGCAAAATACTTCTGTTTTAGGTAACTCATTTCATAGGGCTAAAAAAAGTTTACTTTCCCTTGAACGCAAATTAAAAACTCAACCCGATTTTAGCAAATTATATCACGAATTCATGTCTGAATATGAAAAGTTAGGTCATATGTCGGAAAGTAAAGAATTAAATTTGAACAC